GGGGATGGGGAGGGGGGAGCTACTGGGAAAAATAAAATGAACATGCCGGGTAGGCGGGTCTTGGTTCCCACCACTTGTCCAGTTTGTCCTCCCCGCGCTGTCCCACCGGCATTTCGGCGGGCTGCTGGCACTGCTGCTATCTGCCGTCTGCTGTATGAAGGCACTGTTGGAGGATTGATGCGCAAGCGCTTGAGTGCATCCAGACGGCAGCAGCAGCAGCAGCAGTGGCAGCAGCAGCAGCAGCAGCAGCGGCGGCGGCGGCGGCGGCGGCGGTGACGACGACGACGACGGCGGCGGTGGCGGCGGCGGCCAAAACTCTGTTCCTCTCCTCCCGCATACCCCCTCTCACCGAAAAACTAGCATGCACAAGCGGTACTATCCTACTTATCCAGCACCCCACCCCAATACCCCTATCCCCCTATCCCCCCGGTGCCCCGCACCTAGTGAGCGCAGTGTCGCGTTGAACCTCTAGCAGAGCGCGTCGCACGTAAGAGTACCGGCCGCCGCCCGTCATCAGTCGCCGTACCGCGCAGCCCACGTTAACCTCTTACCTTTTATTAGTTTTTAGTAGTTTTTTCAGTAGTAGGCCAGATACAGCTACGTTGATCATAAAATAACAGACAGCAAATAATAAATAATACGTTGTTATCTCTCGTTTATGGGAGAAAGCTAAGATAAGGTGCATCTCGATTATATTGTGAGAGTCAAGCTGAGAATTGGTTGGTCAGCCTTTATTTTCTTGGACGATTCACTGACAGAACGGGGGTTGATTATACGTTACGGTGGTACACGAGGCCCTCATTGCCTCTAACTCCCCTTTATTTTTCTGTGTGTGTCAGGGAAGGCGCGCGCGCGCGTGCTGTGTTACTGTTTTTGTTGTCATTACCTTTTTTTTTTCTCTTCAGTTTGTATTTTCTTGAGAGAATAAGGGATCATTGGTTTCTTCTTCAATCAGTGTGGCTAGGCTGCCTGTGGTGATTACTCAAGGTGTTGCGTTTTTGGATTTAAATCGTTTGAGTTGGAGATACTGTGATTTTTAAATTATTGTGAATGAAAAAAACAAGTTGGAGAGGGCTTTTAGCAACGAATTCATTTGTTTGAAGACTTTGTCAGTGTCAAGTTTTTCAATTAAACCTGTGCGAAGGATTTTTTGGATTTTAATATGGAGCCACAGGGTCAAGAAATCGTTGCTAGCGGATCTATGGCCGAGGTCCCTAATGATCCAGGGTACGGGATGATGATTGATAAATTTAAAATTCACTAGTGGGGATTATGTTTATTTCTCTCGTTGCTGTTTGGGGGAATTTTACAAGTGATGGAGAAAAGTTGAATATATCTAGTCGACGCCACCACCCGGGCTAAGAGCCATCTCCCCTCCTTTTTCCTTTTCCTGCCACCCCCGCACACGCCATCTACCCCTCCTTCATACTCACTACACCACCACCACCATCCCCTATCCTCTATCCCACTTGCTTTACATCTCATTCGTCATTTTTTTTTTCTTTTTCTATTGGATGCACTCGGTCAATGATACAAATGAGAGAGACCCATTATTGAGCTTTGCCATTTTTTACTTTCCATTTTCTCCCGTCTTTTCCTCATTTTCATGCCAGTCGAATCGATCCTTCTGATTTCAATATCATTTTTTATTGACGGTTTGCCTTTTTTCATTGATCAATTAATCCTCCTCAATTAGTTTTTCTAAACATGCGGCAAAATGAGCATTGAGTATATTGGCCACGTGACGCAGACGCGGGCGATGCTGTTCACGATCACGTGGCGTCTTGGGTGTATTGAAGGTGGGGATGATGCTGTTTTCAATGTAGTAGTGACGGGAGGGGAGAGACAATGATTGAGGAGGAGTTAAAAAATAATTTTCACCCAATTATCGCCATTTTCATTAATATCTCGACTTTTCCCTTCCACTCATATTGATTTTATAGATTTTTTTTTTTTCAAATATATGAGGTGGTGACACTCGAGTGGTGGCGGATAATAAAAAAAAATAAATGATAAAAAATTTATTTAAAAATTGGGAAGCTCAATTGGCTGTTGGAGACGGGTAGATTTTTTTGGAAAAATTTTTGGGGGTTGTTTGATTTGTGGTGACACCTGGTGTCGACGAACGGAGTCGATGCAGTTACCTTTGTAATATCCTTCAACTGTGTTGAAAATAGTCGAGTTGAAAATTTTGGGAAAGAGCAACACGGGATGTGAAAATAGTGAGGAGAAAATCACCCTGTTCTTTCTGTTTAGGAAAATGTTCATCGGTGGTCTATCATGGCAGACTAGTCCAGGTGAGAATTCCACCGAATTATCATACACCTATTAATGGCTGATAATAATCTTTACGATTTAATGAATTTGATTTAGAATTATGGTGAGAGATATGGCGGGCGATATCTAATCATTTTGATAGTACTAAATTCTAATGGTGCGAAATTCCTGTTGACGGAGATGACAATGATGATAAGGTGTTACTCATTGTTTGTGTAGAACTCGGTTGTATTATTTTTTTTTTTTTGTCGAGCGAGGGGCATTACTTCAGTTGACTTGGAAATAATTTTTTAGACAGTCGGAGGATAGATAGACTCTGGAGAGAGATATTGCGAGGTTGTAGGCACTGAACAAGGCGTTGTGTGCTCATTAGCGTTATTTGCCATCGTTACATAAGTCATTCTCTGCAACCTCCATTGGAACCTTCAAACAATTTCATTATTATTCCATTGCTCTTGTATATTCATCTGCCAAATTCATCAGCGGATATTGAATGGAGCAAACAAAAAAGGCTAATAAAAAAAGATAACGACTCTTAGTCGAGCGCCGGCATCTCTATATTTATTTCAAATTCACTCTTGGTTTTGTTATTAAAATATAACGCGGAGTAACGTTGAAACTGTTTGGCGCAGTGGTCAGGCGGATTTTATTGCCCTTCCCACGCCATTCATGGAAAACGTTTACGAGCATTCTCTCTACCTTGTGCGTCTGTTGAAGAGATCCGCAGATATTTCTGAGCAACTCCAGGGCGATGCTGAGAACAATTGTTTATGATATTTTGTTATTTATTTATTGATGCGGAAGCTGTTGGGTACTGGCTTTTATTATTATCACCTTCGTCAGGTTTTCTTTAAATGTCGCAAGAGACAATTATGGGTTTCAAGGACAGTTGTCGTGTGATACTGGGAAGAAGTATTGGATTTGAACTGAGGCATTAGTATAAATGAAAAATTTTCATTTGTAATTAACTGTTTCAATCCTCGCAATGGATTTTTTTTCGGAAAGTGGCCACTTCATTCTTGTTTCCCGGATAATTCAAAAGCTAGGGCTAATCCGATTTTACTTGACTGATAATTTCAAATGAACTCGTATGTAATGGAGTTAGAGCGTAAATTGGATGGAGAAAAAAATAAATGGTCGTGGGAGTGGATTATTATTCGTTGTAAAAATGAAAAAAGCCATCTTTCTTGGTTAATTTTTAAAATGTCATTTGGTTGTGACGTTTTCATCCAACTTGATCGTCTTGTCTGATGCAATAGTGCGCAACAACTTGTCTCTCTCGGTTTCAAACTCTCCTTTTCGCTATTTTTAAACGTAATTGCAACCCGGCCGTTTTTAATGGGCGAGGCCGACAGATGGACGGGAGAGCTTGCAATAAGAGAGACAACTGACTATGGTGGATCATACAATAAAGGATCAAGTATTACGAGAGTCATGACGATGAGCATTTCTCGGTGTAATAGTTTCCTGAATTTTAAAAATTGCCGATATCAACTGAAATTTTTATGGCAATTCTTTTGTTCTTCGGTAGACATTGTTTGCGATTTTTTTTTTTTCGCTATTCGTTGGAAGATAATAGAGAGAGAGAGAGAGAGAAAAAATGAGAGATGAGCATCAGTTTGACGAGTGTCTACTCGACCCGTTGGGAACACTCTCGAGCATGCATAGAGGGGGCCTCTAATTACGCAACTAGGTCGACAAGGGGTCGCCTAATTTATTTGCGACATAGGTGAAACATACTCAACATGGTCTACTAGCTCTTCTCATACCCGAGAACATCAACTTATAGCTTGGCTTTCTTTTTATCCATTTCTTTGTTATTCCACTATTATTTCTTCTATTTTATCCTCTCGTTCGTTTTCTTTGAATAATTTATCAATGGAATTTTCCAATTCCTTCAATTCCATAAGTTGATTGTAGAGCCTTATGCATTATTCAAAACGTACAAAATATTCGGTAAAACGCATATAAACCAGGATGAGGTCAACGACACCTCAACTGACGCGCATAATTCGTAACATGTACGCGCTTTCTTCCGCGTACGATCATCATCGTGTGTCTACTTCTACTTTCGACTCTCTCACTCACCATTTCGGTTAACTAATTTTACCAACTGCCAACCGTGTATCTTTAGATTCTGCTTTGAAGCGTCCATGGATCACGAACATGCTCCCTAGGGATCCATCCTATCCCAATATTATCTCCTTTTATTCACTATATTTGCACTCCCATTTGCCTAGAGTTTAAAAATATATTTTCCCCCTGAAATCATTTTCCAATCACTTTTTCCCCAAATAACAATATTTCCACTAGAAGTAACTGGAAATCCAGTACCTCGAGTAACGCTTTTTTTTTTATTTTTTCTAATATCACGAAAATAATAGTAACATCAATTGTTTGAAAAGTAAATGGAAAATATTTTCCATCGGTACACTGACATTTAATATTGCATTCATTGATCTTCATTGGGAGAGTTGAAAATAAATTGACCTTGAGAGGTACCTTTAGTTTCATATAAATCAATGGGCTTTGAACTATTGAGTGATAGCGCAATGAATATATTTTTAAACAATGGGGGGTATAAAAAAAAATAGAGATGGGAGAGAAATGAAAAGTGAGGGTGAATTGTTGGGATTGGTAGTGAGGGTTTAAGAAGTGGAGCGCGTGGAGGTAGAATTGCGGAGGAAGATGAGGTGTTAGGGGAAGGAGGAGGTGGAAGATGGTGGAAGGAGGTGGAAGGAGGTGGAAGGAGGTGGAAGGAGGTGGAAGGAGGTGGAAGGAGGTGGAAGGAGGTGGAAGGAGG